TACTCTACTCTACTCTACTCTACTCTACTCTACTCTACTCTACTCTATTCCTAGTCTATTCCTAGTCTATTCCTATTCTGTTCTATTCTATTCTATTCTACTCTACTCTACTCTATTCCTAGTCTATTCCTATTCTATTCTATTCCTCTTCCTCTTCCTATTCTATTCTGATGCAGTTAAGTGTATAAATTACGCACTTGAAGAAAAGTTATTAAACGGGGCTCAGCCTGAGGCACAAGGATATCCAGTGAGTTTCTGGTGGGGAAGGAGTCATTCTGTGGGGGACGCGGCCCGGCCTAAACGTTTCTACCCACCTTCCTCTCCCTACTGTAAACTGCAAGTCCTGTGAGACAAGTCCCTGGCTCTTGCCCCTAAAAGCAAGAGGGGCACCAGGCACAGAAGCATCGTCCCCGTGTGTGTCAGCGGCCACCAATTGCCACCAAATCTGAACACCACCACAATCACCCCAGCCCCACCCTCTCCAGCCAGCTCATTCTAAATAGCTTAGAGTGACAGGAAGAAAGAAGGGAGGGAGGAAGAGGAGGGGGGAGAAAGAAAGATGATAGGAAGATAAAGATAGATAGATAATAGATATAAAAATAAATAGATAAGAAAGATAAATTGATAAGATAGATAATAAATATGATAGATTATGTATAAATAGATATATAGATAATAGACATAACTATATATAACAGATAGGTATAGTGATAGATAATATAGATAATAAACAGATATATAAAGTTAGATGATATAATAGATAATAAAGATAAATGGATAATAGATATAAAGATAAATATAGATATAATGATAGATAAGAAACATAGATAATATGGGACTTCCGGGTTGTAAGGCTTCGTCGACGGCAGGAATCCGCTTCTCTGCGGGTCCCTGCTGTGCTCGCCGTCAAGGTACCCCCGATCCAACTGGATTTGGGGGTTGTCGCTACCCTGAAGGGGCAGCGGAAGACAGAGGAGATCCGAGCAGGGGTCTGGGGACATCGCACCCCCCCTCCCCAGCCGGCTAGACTCCTTTTTCCCGAGACGGATGAGCGGCTGTCTCGGCAGCCATGAAGGATTCTTCAACCGGACAAGTTTGCGCAGGAGGAAGACTTAGAAGGAGAAGTTTTCTTGGCTAAACCAGGACATGATGTACTTTTAAAACACCCTGGGAACCTGACTTTGGATTGATACATTTGTTTCCAAAAGAATTTGTAACATCAGCGAAAGTGCTGAAGGAAAGCTCACTCCCCCTCCCTACGGAGAAAGCAAAGGAGCACAGAAAAACTTGCTCTCTAAAGGTAAAAATAAGCTCTTTGTTATAAGTGGGAAGGGGAGGACTAAAAAAAAAAAAAAATTTTTTTTCCTAAACTTTGCTGGAGGAGACGCCTTGAAGATTACAAGACCATTAATTAATGGAAATACGGCTTTTAAAATATATCTGGGATTTTGCCTCTGGAGAAAAAACTGTAAAGAGAAGAAGAGGGAAAAAGTTTTGCTTGTTTGGATTGTTTGATAACTCTGACATTTGGAAATTACTTCAAGATTGAAAGAATCTGGGTTGTTGTTTTTTTTAAAAAAAAAAAACTTATAATGGTACCACCGGTTGATGAACTGAAAATGGAATATGAAAAATTAAAAGAAAGACAACAAAGTGGCAAGGATTCTTTGGGAGCTGCCTTCCACTTTTTAGAAATGGCGGTTTCTACGTACCAGCAAACACTGGAGGAAGGAGAAGGAGAAGAAGAAGAAGAAAAGGAAGAAGCCATCTTTAATGGACTAAAAAGTTTGATTAAGAAAGAAAATGGGAAGGAAGGAAGGGAAAAGGAGAATTTAAGATTTAATAAAACAACCAAGAAAAAGAAAAATAGGATGAAAAGAAGGTACAATGTTAGAAAGCAATTGAAAAGAGAATTACAACAGAGAGGGAAACTTAAAAAGGGGGAGAGGAGAGGAGGGGGCAAAAAGACCAGATTGGAGAAGAAAGGGAGGGAAAAAGAAAAAAAAAGCCACGGGTTAGGACAAGATTTTTTTAAAAAAAGTTTTTTCTTTAGAGATGAAGGATGATAGATAGCTTATAATTAAAGAAGATTCTGCAAGAGCGCATAAGATAGTATTGTAGTATTTGTATTTGGAACAGTTTATTGGAATATTTAATGAAATATTAATGTTTAATAATGATGGATGTTGATATTTGATTAAATATTAGGAGATCTGTTAAATGATTAATGCTTAGTTAAAGTTTAATTTGTTAGTGTTTTAATATTATTATAACTTTAGTATTTTATTTTTTCTATTCTAAAACAATGTACTTATTAGAACTAGAATTAGAATAGAAATTATACATTTAATTATACTATAAGTTTGTTATTCTTTCATTTTAAGATTTAATATGTAGAAGGTACTAAGCAGAATCAGAATGGAAATTATGTATTATTTTAAGTTTTATTTTAGGAGAA